AAAGCCAAAAAAGATCCACCTGATATTACTATTTCAGGCAATCGTCTTATATTTATAGATAAGAAAAACAAATTCGAAAGATTGGTAGCGTGCCATCATAAAGACCAAACACTGATAAGATATGCAATAATGCACAATTGTAACTACTAGGGAGCTACATTTTTTCGTAATACTATGAGATATTGATAAAATCTTGTCTTTCGTTTCATCGCAATATTCTACTTTTGAAAATTAAGTTGCGAGATAACAAATAAAATTATGAAGCATAATTAACATAGTGCTCCTGACTTCTACACTTTGGAATTAAAATATTCCAAATGGTAAATTTAACAGAAAAAGATCTCTGTATCGTAAAATTACTCGCTCACACACATATATGCTTTAAATTTTAAATTCTCATTCACAATTAATTGCAAGTTACAACCATCCCTTTTTTAAGAATCTTTTCAACTCTCACTTCTGACAAGTTTCTTATACCTCGAGGCACTGCGACACAACCACTTGAAAAAGCTGCATAACTAATTCCGAGACATTATCTTGTGATTGAACACCTTGCCGACAAAGCAGCTCATCCGATCAAAGTGTTGCCGGCAAGTCGCTTTCATTCCCCCTGCAGCCAATATTTCAAAAATCCGGTAAAAGTAACCAGACAGCCTTGAATCGTTTAACAAAGCAACCAAACAAAATTCGGCACCTCTCGAAACAAACTATCAGCAATATCGACAGATGAGCATTTACCACAACTTATTCATTCAACTACCAAATTATCCGATATCAAATAACACCACTGATTAATCATTTCCAACAAGGCCTTCAATCCAATATATAAACATGCATGTATATAAGTTGAGGTGAAATCACTGTTGTTATCTTCAGAATCCAGAAGACATAATGACCTCTTTACCCTCTCTTGACTCACATGTCAAATTTTTTTTAAATGCTGAATAAAAGTTGTTGGAATAATTCCAAATTTTAAATTTTAAATCGAAATCTAACAATTTGCGACTAAAATCTCTTCCTAAAAAACAATAGTTTTTTTATTTTTAAGAGCTAGCTAATACATTACAGAAATTCAGAGTTTTTACTAAACAAAAAAAAATTTTCTTTTGAAATGCAACAGTTGCCAAGCATAGGACACCAGTATTCTGAGGAAATGGCGCCCTTCGCTTCCCTTTTATGTTATCATTTACATCTCTTGTAAACAGTTTTAGAAAACCAAATTCAAACAGTACTTTCCAGGTCCCTCATTTAATAGGTATGCGTTAGTTTAAGGCATTTTACTCATTTTCAAATAAAATTTGAATGTTCAGATAATTATATGGTTTGAGCTATTACGTAATGCCATCAGAAATCTCTTCTCTCTTCCTCTCCTTCCTTAACCAATTATAAATGAATCACTGCAAAAAATTTTTTTTTACCATAATTCATAAAAATAAGTACAACTGTTATCATTTAATCAATATTTTGTAAGTACAATTTCTAAATAATGGTGGCGCAGGAATCTCTACAACTATTAATTGATATTACTACCTTTATCTTTTCTTACTGATACTGACATTTTACTGTTTTATTCTCAATTCGTTCATTATTGTCAATAATAACCGATAGTAATTCAAGTTCTTGAAATGGGTTAAATAAGCAATGTGAGAAAATAAAAATTATTGACCAGCTACAATTCCAATAAATCTAATTATGAAGTTTTGTAAAATCATGAAGTCTGCCTTCTATAAAAATCCTTCGTTTCACTCCTTTACCATCAATTTTTTTAATTCAATGGATTCAAAAACAAGTCAGTGTCTTTTCTTGAAATTAATTCTCAATAATAAATCAAATAAATGGGTACAGGATGTGATGTTCAAGTACTATACATCGATTTCATACGCATCTGCTATGCATCCATTTCATGCTGCAATTAATTGTTTCCGGAATTTAGGTTTACGGTGATTAACGAATCCTACTGCTGATCATTGGCAATTTGTGAAGGAACCACTTCGAAATTTTGAAATTTCGATAACAGCAGGGGTAGCAGCAGCACTATTAGTTACATGGATAATAGCAGCAATACATAACAGTTACTGTGCCATCTGTTGCATGACCTGTTTTGTGATGTTAAGGTGACAACAGCAGCCTATCATTACGCTCATGATTTATGGACTAACGGAGTTACTCTTCATCCTTCTTTTTCTGTTTACATGAAAACTCTTTCCAAATGAATGTATAATAAGAATAAGTTAAAAAATCTAAATAAATGCATAATTAAATTTTAAAAAAATTCGGAAAATTGTGCACTCTGCTCACCAATAAGAGCTAAATTTGAACATTCTTCGACTTCATACACAATTAATTCAACTTCTGTTCAATTCGCACCTTTTTGAGAATGCCGGTTAATATTTTAATCCAATTATATTCCAACAAAGATTAGTGCTAAAGACTAGTGTTAAGATTAGTGCTAAAAACATCAGCAGACAGCTGCATTCTCTATAAAAAATATGTCTGGAAATTATTTATTGGCACTTGAATGTCTTACTCGCAAAAAGTAATATAAACAATGTGTATGTGTTTTTTTTACGCTCGCAAGTTTTTTTGATGCTTGAAATTTACATTACTTGCCATAATAGAACTTACTAAATTCAAATAGCAGAATCAGGCCAAACAATCCATTTGTTGTCTCTGTTCATTTCCCTCATAGTACTTCACCATCAAGACAAATGTTCTATTCTAACTGTAACTTATTATATTAATAAATGATTCTATATTTTCTCTTACCTCTGGACTTTCTTGGAATTGTCAATCGGTATACACTAACAAAATACTTACGAAGTTATTTAAATCGCATCTACCCTACACTTTCTTTCTCCACTCCAAAAAATGACAAAATAAACATTATAGCGATACTAATTACATAATTTGTGTGTGCTATTGATAGGCGACTTGATAAAAAAACAAGAAAAATTTTCTAAGATATCAAAAAGACTTTAACAAGTTATATTTCGTAAGTAATGATTAAATCCAACTAGGTTTAATTGATTCTTTGGCAGACAAAAGCATTTGTTTTGAAAATAATCTGAGACATCAATTATTGAAGACTTTCTCATCATGCGTCATAGGCATTAGCTAACTCATATAGATACCATTACTTTTATTCCCTATCTGTCAGCATTAAGTGCTGAAATAGAAAACAATAGCGCTAACAATTATATTATTCACCATCAAGATGACGTTGCTAATCGAAGAATCAGCTGTTTAAGCATAAGTCGTCATCGTCATAATTATTAAAATTGACTTGAATCAAAAAATACAAATACCTATAATAATCCGAAATAGATAAATTCTAAACAGTATCACTAACTTCTTGCCCCTCGTTCTTTTCTCCAAAAAAATATTTAGAAAAAACCATATTATGAACAATCATTTGCTTGATGAGCTCCTAAATTCCATTTAAAAAAAGTATCAATCAACTTGAAATGAAAACGAATATAAAAATGGTTATTTCTCTCAACTATTAACAGAAAAAGCAACACAGAAGTAACTAAAAAATTTGTGAAGTAAGGCCTTTTTGTAAAGTATCACACAAATCACAAAAAATACATGGGCTTTATCATGTCCCTAACGTTTATTTCGAGGCACTTTTCTTGGTTTTATTTTAATTACACTATTCCCCATTCTGTAAAAACCAAATGTAAATTTGCCTAAACAATAAATTATTGAGGAACACTTTCTATTTTCTTTTTTGAAATTTATTAAGGCCAGATACAACTCCTCAAAATAAGAAAATGAAAGAACTTTATTTGCAAAATTCTTTCCTTATTTTACTTCCCAAGATGTGCAAAATAGATTTTGATGAGTGAAGAAATAAACCAAATTCCTTTAAAATAATCTGGAAGAAAAAAAAGTACCCGATTTTGAGACATAAAATCAAAGATCTATTTTCCGCAAGAAACAGTTGTCATGAAAATACCTGCTTCTCGTATTCACATTTTTTTCAAATGCATTATGCAGGAATAATATGTCCAACCTTCCTACTCATGTGGTTTTTTTCCACCAAAATTATAATGTTCGGAATTCCGTTAGCAAAATATATGTTTGCCCTATCAAATTTTTTAAGCAAACTTGAAAAGAAAATACAACAATCATAAGAAATGTGCAAATGCAAATTTTGAAATAACCGGATTGAGTAATAATTTTGAAAAACTTACATTAAAATGCAGAGCGTAGGCTTCTCGAGGATGGATCTTCACATCTTCGACTCTGCCAACGAGTTTTAACACCTGAAACAGTGATGAAAAATCATTCTAAAAACAGTTAAAAGTGATAATTTTTCTATTAGAAATAGATGCTCCATTCAAGCAGAAAATGTTAGATATGACCTTGATTTTTTCTTTTTTTTCTTGTCGAAGAAAGGAAAACTAGATTCATGCATGAATGCATAAATGAAAGTACCCATTTGAGTGAGAAGCTTTCTGTCTCTACTTAAACACCGACATAAAGAATTTTTATTAATATCTGAAGGTTACTTACTGACTGTATACAATAATTCAATGCACTCCTTCTCATGATAAGAACTCAAATCAGCAAAAAGCAACCCCATCTATTTTTCTCTAATTGGTTTTATATATAAAACGGAAAAATAGAGTACCGGAATTGCTAGAGTTGAGGATTTTAGTGCTCAAACAATCCATTTCTACATGGACATCATCGGGTAACTTCGATGACTCACTGCATTCCGATCGGGTAAGTGAACGCCGTTTTCTCACAACCGGTAAGTAATCTGAAAGTTTTTGGAATTTCACTCACATTCCACAAACAATGTTGGTTATCAAATATTTAAAAGTCAATATAATGAAATTTAAAAAATGAATAAAAAAGAAAGAGATCAGACATTATAAAAGTCAGATTATATGATGCGAGATGGCGGATGAACTCTTAGAAATTTCAGCATTCCACAGTGAAAAACTGCCTTCTTCATGTCTTATCTCCGTAATCCTCTCTTTATCTCCGCATATTCAATTCTACTTCTTTCAAATACAACCTATACAAATGATCTATCACAGCAAAGGTCATCAGCGGTCAACAGCAGAGTCTTTTGTATACATTTTCACAATAACGTCATACTACAACTACCCATTCACATTTGCCTTTTTGGATCCTTACTTTTCATAATTTGCTTCCTTTATCCAGAACAACTATCTGCTATGAAGATGGCATTAACGCGGTTTTCCAAACAGTCAAAAAGCACGTGCTTTAAAATTTTAGCACTGGTTTGAATTTCAAAATTCTGTTTAAAAATTTTTTCGATGCTTGCCTATTTACAATAAATTTCGGCAAAGAATCAGGATGGAGGAAATAATCTAACAAAGTAAAGCCAAGTTGTAAACAGATTACAAAGCACCATATTTTTTGTACAGTTGCACATGGTTTTCCACGATGTGAAGCAATGGTTAGAGAATGAGAGGAAAAACAAAATAATATGACCAGACGCCCATAAGGTGTCAAAAACTTCTACATAAATTAAGATTATATTTTCTTTCATCTTTCTCGGAAATGCTTCATTTCAGAACATCCATTAGCAAGCATTCCCACGATGCAGATATCTAATGTATATTAAACATGATTTCTAATAACCTTGGAAGGAATAATGCAGACCTTCACCTATTATCTCCATGAAACTGGTTGGGGTAAATTAAAAAAGGCATCGGCCAAAGAGGCTTAGAAATAATGACTGCGGAATTAATTGAAGTTATTTGCAAGTATAGAAATGAAGTTTGAAGAGATGTTCGAATGGTTCAACATTAAAAAACTTTTCTTAGCAAGCAGATTTTTTGAAAAAAATTGACAGCAATTTCATTCGTCAAAACAAATCATTTGCATAACTCATTCTCTGTCAAGATCTTTCATTTGGATTATCCTCTTGTTTTTATCCCTTTCCCTATTTCAATATCGTTTGTTACGACCTAAATTCAAAAAATGCATTCAATCCCCTTAAATTTGGCAAACAACTGCCCGTGTCAAAATGTACATAGGGTGATGCTCAATGTCAAAATATGGAGGTTGCACAAACCTATCCAAGCGGTATCATTATTAAGACAGAAAGGAGAGAAAGATGTAATAAAGGAAAAATATAGCTATCCACTAAATTGTTGCACCTTAGTTTAAATGCTGATACTTATAAGCAAAAAATCATTGCCATAAACGAGAACAGATGCTAGCACCTGTTTATGTTTGTAATCTTTTTAGGAAAATTCCTTATGTTTTTCATCCCATTATTAGTTATCCCATTAATTCCCTCTTAAACTTTGACCTTTAGAAAAAGGAATTTCGCAGAAAATTTCAACTTGTAATCCTAAAAAATAAGTAAAAATGAAGTATTATAATCGAGAATTTAGAAGTGCAAAGGCGAAAGCTAATGAAAAAAGCTTACTGGTCAACAGAGACTGCTTCATTGATTTTTTGCGCAGAGCAGATTTTCGCGAAATTTTGCGAGCACCACGTGTTTTTAGTAACGCAGATCGCTGGATCTTAGCATCTCGAGACTGTGACACAACTTTAACACGACCTTTTGAAGCCTTTGGCACAGTCAAGTTCTGAAAAAAACACTAAAACAATGTTTAAGTGCTCGAATTAAAAATATGAAAAATTGTTAGATTCGTGACTTCTGTTTATCTTGTTTTTAAAGTATAACGAATGTATTCAATACCAATTTCGCAGCAGGTGCATCGCGACTTCGCGTATGATAGGCGACTACATCGCCATTTCCCTCAAGTTTCCGCTCCATGCAATCGACAGAAACCGTTCGTTTTTTAATGCGCTCCCTTGATGGATAATAAGTTGTTCGATAGAAAAGTGGTACCTACAATCTGGTGACATATTGTTCAGCAGAATAAGTCTTATCAGCCTTTAAATCGCTTTAAGCTATCATTTGGTTTAAAAATGACTGAAGAATTACCTCATTTTCAGGAACTGCTTCGACAATGTATGCAGTGCTTGGAATAGGCTGGTCATTTTTAAAATCGAAGCCATATCCTTTTTCCTATAACGAAACGTAAAAAAATTTTCCTTTGATCAAAAATATAGCAGATTCGAGTGAAGTACAGGAATTCAAAAGCATCATACCCGTTCTATTTGAATAGCTTCAAGTTCTTTTGTTAGCCATTTCTCCAACTCTTCATGATCTGGTTTGCCGAATAAGCACCGGGACACACGCCTACTTCGAGTATGCATTTATCTTGTTCTTGACAAGAATAAATTGCATTTAATAAACAATAAAGATCCCTTAAACCAAAATTAATGTGTTCACTTGTTTGAGACTTCAGTTAGAGTTGAAATGATAAATGACAATGATAACTCGCATTTCATAGATATGAACAAAAAATATCATCTCCTGCTTCTAGCTTGGAATTCTTATCGTTTTTCAGCGAAATAATGTTTAATCGACTACAAAGAAAAATAATACATTATACAAATTCGAAACTCGGCTACGGCTGAGTCATTTTAAATAAGCAATAAAAAACATCATTAAAAAGTTAAAGAAAAGTAAACATTATAAAGACAACAAAAATATGACTTCATATATTAGGAAATTCGCCAGAAATAAAAAAAAATAGAAAACAGCTGAATGCATATCTGCCTCTTCTCATCACCTATCAAATATAATAGAATTTCACAAATGTTACGCTTGTCTTTTAAGCTTTTCTCTTTTGAATATACAATAACAGTCTTGTCAAGTGAAAGTTAGCTTAACCGCGCAACAAAAATTTAATGAACATATTCAACGAGATATTCCCTATAGAGTAGCTTGTATAATTCAATAAACTCAGCGAAATTTAAACGTTTTGAGATAGCCCCCTTCTTTCCATCTCCACAATCTACTGTCTAGCATTAGTGAATGCTCATAAATCGACACAAATAGCCTCAAAACTGTAAATATTTCGAAACGCAAAAACCAAGCATTGATGATTTGTTGTTCATCCATTTCAAGCACTCTGCTCACTCTTTCAAAACTCTCTCTCTCCCTCTCTCTTTCTCCCACAAACCGCTAACCATCCTCATCCACATATTTCCCCAATTCATCATGACATTCTATCACTTACAGGCAACTCTATACTATCTTTTTCCTCACATCACCTCTTATTTTACTACTATCACTGTACTTCAAGCTTTATATCCTTAAAGCTCGTTTAGCATAATTAAATCAACTTTTCATACCCTCTCACTCTCTGACCTGTACACACTCATACATCTTATCAACCCCTGGCCCTCTTCAAATATGGTCTATCTCACACCCAGAAGAAATAGTAACTAGTGAGAGAGAGAGAGAGAGAAAGCGCAAGCCATCGGAGCAGCCGAACGAAAATTCACAACTCAGCAAACTGTCGCATTTGAAATGTTGCCAAATGGAATCATGGCGGGAAGCCTACCGTAATCTCATATTCAAATTGTTTCTTTTATCGGGCATTGTTAAATGCAAATGTGAAAGCTGTTAGTTGGTAGGATGGGATGCTCAATTAAGCAACTATGCTATTGATTACTTCTGGCTTATTAAATTACTAATTAGCGTTCAATTTCAATCGATAATTCGTATGAGTCATTTGAAACACAATTTTCATATTGGTCATTCATTACGTCAATAATACTAATATTTTTTTTTACTAATATTTTTTTCCACTCAAACTCGTGTCTGAGTGATTTTCAAAACATTTTAGACGCTCATAATAAAAAAGAAAAATTAAACTCTGAATCATTTTAAATTATATAGATTCTGAAATATCTCAAACTTCAAATAAATATAAGGGCAAATGTGGAAAAAAGTTTTTTTTTCTTTAAATTTATTTAATTCGCACATGTGACCCTAACTTTCCATTTGTTGGAAATTGCCTTTTTTTAAGTGCTTATTGCAAACAGCGCTTATTGTTTCATCTGTTCCTTCCCGATAGTTGGCTCGACTAACACTCTTGTATGGAAAGTTTGAACTGATAATAGCATCTAAAGTAATACAGTGAACTTAGGAGTAATTTATTGTCATTTTGGTAGTTCAACTCAGTATGAGGTCAAGCTAAGATTAAGTAAGGTCATGTGCACTATTTGCTTATTTATTAATTGCTATTCATATTATCTAATGGTTATGATTACTTGCTTACTTTAGTACTGACAACTGTATCATTCATAACTATATTTGCCACTAATTTAAGAAAATTTTTTTGACCTCGAATTGACAATAATAAAATAAAATATCTTTAGCCCATAATTCCATTACTGGATTGCTAATTTTTTTTTTACTTGATGAATATTGACAAGGATATTATTGCTTCCTTATGTTTTATCCATTTTATCCATCACTTCAGATAATCTCTTAATCTCTGAAATGAAATAAGCTTTCAGTGATTCAACTGTCATCGTATAATTTCAGGGATTTTCTTGATTCCATTAGTTTCAGACTCGTTCTTTTTAATGAAACTACTGTTTGTTGTAAAGAATGTATATCATTATTTCATGAATATTGTATTCATTGATCGTTTCTTTTTTTTTGTCATCATCGTAGGGATAAACAATAATGATCTGTTACATTTTTTTATGAGTAATTGTTGATTCCCTTTGTTTAGATTAATTACAATGCGAAAGAATAAACGTTCTCTGTTGCATCCTTCAATGATATGATGACCCCAAACTACCCCTAAATCATCATATTTGATCAGACCCAATCGGTACCTGTTCCTTTCTCTCTGCAATTTGATTCCTTATAAACAAACTTTACAATGATCTAAATATGATGATGTATGTCGGCAAGATTACTTGTGAAAACGATACTTTGCTTATTGGCTCCTTAAAGCTGAAAAAAAAAATCTCCGGCCATATACATTCTCAAAAGATTTCCGCCAATTCTCTTTCATCCTCTGAATCCTCTGAATTTGTTGGTTAAATCGCAGAATTCGTAATTTTTTTTCATCTGCCTGACTTTATGTGTTATTTATTTATATATCTAATTTTTTTTGAAGTTTGAGAATTGTCAAATAATTTTTTGGGGCTTAGTTTTAATAATTTTTTAAAAATTTTAAAAATTGAATTAAAAAAAATTTTATTTCTCCCTAAATCCTAACAAAAATGTTGGCATAATTCGATATACAATGAATCTAATCTATGCTTCTTTTGTTGATCATAATGGGAACAAATTACTAAGAAGCTCGGTTAGATGGGAAAGAGGACGAGCGACATTGTCCAAGTGACCATTGGCCTACAATTCATGCATCATTGACGGGCCACTGCGGGATGTCTTAATTATCGGAAAATTTTAACTTTTATGGTAAAGTGTGAATAGAAAAATTTAGTTCACAAAGTGTTGTATCCCTCAAACTCTTTGTAGCGCAGGATGCTAAATCAAAATGGTATACTATCAAGAATACTGTAATAGTTGAAAAAAAAAAAGAAAGTCTGGTATTGTCTTGGGCTTCTAATTCAAGCAGTAAAATGAGAAGAGATTTACAGTATCAAAACAGTAAAGAAAGGTCAAACATGATGACTTGTGTAAAAATAAGAATGCATAATGGCAGCAGCAATAGGTTTTCAGTAACCGTGCAGTAATAATGTGGCCAATTCATGTAAATTGATTTTTAATTACCTGTCTTAGATGACATATTAACTGATTTGTGGTGACATGATGGATGGTTACATAACAGGTGATTCATCCAGTCACCCTTTAGCACTGTGCATGCATAACTCAGTAAAAGTTGTATAACTCAGTAAAAGTTGCAGAAGTACGAGATTTTTGAAAATTGTAGATTTGAAGTTTTTAGACCGAAAATGCGGATGGAAATTCTTTCCTCGATGAAATTTTAATTTAGTAGTAATTAATATAATGATGAAGATTAGTCTTAATTGAAAGTTTTCAGTCCAATCCTATAAACATTTTTCCCTGTATTGATAATATCAAAGTTTATAGCGATATATATTAGAAAAGGTGTAATAATTAAAGTACCTATTTTTACTACTTATTCCATCGCAGAATTTTCTTGCTAATTCACATTTCTTTTTGAGGTGAATTGAATGATTACATTTTTTTTTGTAATTCCAATTTTCCACTGATTAATTATGTTTAACTTCCGAAGATTTCTCTTGCATTCCATTCATTTAATTTCAATTAATGTGACTTTAATGTTAACCGATCTTTGGTTTTATTAAATATTTTTGAGAACAAATGAATTCATTTGTTCAATGAATTCATTTTAATGTCTTTCTATTGAAAGAAATTGGAGTAAAATTTGTCCAAATTACGGCAAGAACAGAGAACCCGCAATTTTCGAAATATTTTAAATACTTATAATAAAATTTTTCAGAAAGAAAATTAAGTTGAGTTAATTTGAGATGTAAAATCAAACAAATACGTGGAATTGTTTTCCTTTGAACTTATTTAATTTGTATAACTGACCCTGACTTTTCCTTATGCCAATTTAAAAATGTGGAAATTATTTTTTGGGGAAATTATTTTTTTTCACCGAAAAAAAAGAAAAAGTTGAAAGAAATGATGCCGCATTTTACGTTCTGCACATTGTCCATGCAGAACTCATTAACAGTCTACCGCAAAGTTCTTTTTTTTCTTCATCTATGGATCATTGTAATGGGTCTCTTTAGGTGTAAAGCGGTGAATTGTCTATCTAAAAGCGTTTTGCTCCACTTCCCATTTTTTTTTTCGCAACCCTTCCTTTGGGTGGTTAGCGATCATAAAAGAAGATTCATCTTAAATTATTGCCGGAAAAATTTACAATTCTAAACGATCAATCAATCAAGAAGTTCACTTCCTCACTTGAGTGTTAGCCGCACCACTGCATCATTTTCTGATTAAAACTGCTACCGCCATCATTGATTGCTCCTTGCATATCGATCGGCCACCACTTGTCACTGTACTTAACATTTCGATCTTAACAAAAAGGAAAAAAGAAATTTGAAATTCATTAATTTAGAAAGAATGTTAAATTAATTTTTACTTACTTTATAAAAATAAAGCATTTTTGTTTTATTTTATCAAAATTTGTAAATTAGTATAACATTGATGCATTTTCCATTAATCTCTTATCTAATAAATTATTTCAGTCGAGATTTATTTCAGAATTTCAATAATAATCGACTGACTTCTCATCTCATTTTATTTTCCTTCACATAGTTCGACAAAATACCGTTGAACGATAATTTATTAAGTTTTGTAATAAGCTGATAAAGTGGATATAGAAGCATTTATTGTGCTAGGATAATAACCCTACAAATTAGAAACTGTTACCTGACAGTGATGTTGTAGATGGAAATAATAGATGAAAGCGTAAACTTCGTTTATTATATACAAAGAGATTTGTGTGGTAATAAAGCATATGATTAATGAACTGTAATATAAATATATGGTTATGGAAGGCGGTAATTTTATTGTACAATAGATTAGCGGAGTGGATAAAAGATATAGGGATGTACAGTATGCATTTTGATGGAAGTTAATGAACATACCTTTTTAATGTTTAATGAACTGATGCTGACCTCTCTCCTTATTATGCTAATTAAGCCGCCCAAAAAATGGACTCAAACTATGCATAATGCGACGAATGACTAACTGAGAAGCAGCACGATGAGGCTGCTTCATTTTTCTGATTTTAATTTTAGAAGACTTATTGATAAGATAAGAGAAGCGAAGATCAGGTCGACATCAGTGAGAGAAATATAATCTAAAAACATTTGTTCACCATCTCAAAATCATAAATTTTTTCGTTTTTATTATTTCAGAATTTTGATTGTAATTTAATTTAAGAAGCGGTAAAAAAACATCAATGTAAAACATTATAACCTGAGTTTGACCTTTGACCCTCCGTCTAAATGATATTCTTTTGTTCTTTTCGGCTTCTTCATATATGTACAGATATATTCTGTCCTCAACATCTCATTTGCATAATTAAAATGTTGAATGTGGGTGAAAAGGCGACAAAACCTCGAAACCCACAGAGAATACCTATTGAAAGCGGTCCTTTTAATGTTCCCTAATAAAAGCTTTTCCGTTTTAAGAACATGTCTTTTTATGCAAATAAGCTTCTATGAAGCTTATTATTGATGATGGTAGGTCTCTCTCTGCTTTTATATATATCCCTATGGAAAAAAAAGGTCATTTCGGTGCATTTTTTTTTACCCTTACCAGTTTATTCTTTCATTCCTTCATCTTCTCGAACATCTTTTTTTTTTCATTTTATCACAATTCATTGAGATAATACCTTTTCGTTGTTTTTTTTCCTGTTCTTGTTTTAATTATTGTTGATTTGCCATCGTTATTTTCGACGATTTGTTGTCATTATTTGATTGGTTACTATTATTGCTAATATCATTTGAATGAAATGTGTGATATTTGCACAGCTCAACAAATATTTCGAACTGCAGTTAAATGCCTCATCCTACAATTTAACACTCATTCAATTCGAATTTCTAAACATTTTTTTCTAGCTTATGTTTATTATAAACAAATATTTTAGTTAGCAAAATTCTATCCTCTACTTTCATTCAATTTGATAACTGAATCAAACCTTCCTTATTCATTCATCCATTTCATTTTTCTCTCTCTCTCTCTCTCCCTCTCTCAAATAAATGTTTTTTACAGTTGTATGGCGCCTCGACGACTAAAATAATATGCACGAGACGTGGTTTCACTGCCTTCAACGATTTATTTTCTCACAATGTATTATACAGCTTACAAATAACTATTCAGTCAGTAGCAAAAATGCTTCTTTCCTTTGCTTTACTTTTGGATTCAGTGATAAAAGGAAAATTTCATCGGAGGGAATGGAAATGAATAGTAGTAATTCTTCCTCTGATAACTTATCACTAACTAATAACAAATCAAAAATATGAAAATATAATTCTGTAACATTACAATCATTTATGAATTAGAATCACTTGGAATGCATTATGTTTCCCTCTAGCTATTATGTATGATTAGTAATTAACCTTGAGGATATACCTATCCTAGGCGCTACACAACTTATTCGGCCTTTTCAATTCTTATGATGTTGCCGCCATTCACCGCAAATTATTTATTTTTATTCGATAATTAATTTTAACAAAATGAGAATGTTATCCTGCTTGTTCTCATGTCTCGCTGCTGAGCCAATTTGAATCGAGAAATAGGTGAACATTAAAATGGTACACATATCCAAAGGATGATAGGCAAAAAAGGCCTGAAATTCACTGAATCTTCTAAATGCCATTTGTCAACGGTATTGATTAATGCTTGTCTATGTAAGCTGTTTAGATTCTCGCTGGAACAGAATAATGGGAAGGTCATTCGAGAAGAAAGTAAATATTCGATTTATTATTCCTTCTTCTTATCTTTAATTTTCAGCAATGTTAATGCACCTTATTGATCACAGCCGTTCATTCCATCTATATTTTCATTACTTCTAAGTAATACTTAAATTATTTTGCTAATTATACCGTTTATATTTTTCAGAACACATTATACGGCTACTTATTACATGCATAAATTTCCAATTAATAACAAAAAAGTTGGGAGCTAAAATCATTATTTTGATGATCGATTATTTCATTTAAAACATGTGGTAGTATTGGATTATGTTAGAAATTGATAATTTTTATATATTTTTTCACATAATGAAAAACATGGAAAAATGACCCATCCTATTATTTAATGTTCTCATTTTGAAAATGATGCTGAGAAAAGAGATATTTTATGATGTTCAATGGGGGGAAAAGAATGCTACCAGAAATATTAACAATAAGGAGAGATAATCACCGTGCAATCGATTGATGGACAAGTAAAAAAAAAGAATCTTTTAATAGTTGGTAGGATAGTCACTTTTTTTACACACTACAGTTATGATGAATGATGTTTTGGCATTAGAGAGCCGTTATTTAATCAGGTCATTCCAAATTCAATTCCCTCTTATTTTAATTCTAGTTTTAAAAAGGCAATTTTAAAAGTGCAAAATGATAGGGAGATTGGAAAAGCAGCAATTGGAACTGAGACTTTGAGTTATAATTAATTAATTCAATTTATTTGTTATAGATTGATTTCGTAACTTCTCCCCTTCAATGTTCTTGATATAATTACGAAAATAACATATTTGATATCTAGAAATTTTACCGGCACAAGACACCATGTACATTTATAGTAAACTAGTTCCCAAACACATCTTCCATTTGGCAAAGAAAGCTCTCCAACTTGCACAAGTCACCTTGACCATTGACCTCTCTAATCCTCTTATTGGAGCGAAGGTAATCCTGTCCCGAAAGTTCACAACACAAAATGGGATCGTAACACTCCAACTTCCCTTCTCTTTCTTTGTCGTAAAAAAATTATATTTTCATCAATTTCTAAGGATTCAAATTCTCAAAAAACATTCAAAAGCAAGAATTTCAGTATCATTCCAAACTCAACTGCATTCCATTTTTTTATACTCTGGATCGATATAAGTTTGAAGTAAACAGTTAAGTGACTGTCAATTTGACTCATTATTAGAACGTCGATATTTAACTGTGCAAAAAAGACTATGCATGGAAATGAAAAAAGTTTGCTAACCGAAAATCTATTTAAAGGACAAATTTTACTAAAGCACAATGAAATAATCACAAATAGCAATCATTAAAACCCTCCAAATCCCACAATATTTTACAATCACAACCTACACCGATGAAAAAAGTTTTAACAGCACAATAAAGTTTTTTTTAAATCAAATAGAAATAATAATAATGATCTAAAACAAGAGAGAACTATGTGCAGTGTTAAATATACTCTTTATAAGAGCAATTTACACATTTTGGCAACTTGACCACAAACATACAATTAATAAAAAGGAGTAAAAAACATGCGGATGGAAAAGTATCAGCAGTTTCCACGATGATAGGTCATTCAGGAATTAAACCGCTTTAAAACGCTTCCAAAAATATGATGGAAAAGTAAATAGTTATGGTAACATCGATTATATTTGAACTCCATATAATTGATTGCACTAAAACCTGTCAAAGCAGATGTCAAAACATCTACAAAAGTATTGTTCACACCTCCCGAAAGTGACCAATCCTAAGACAAAACAGGCGACCGCATGTCTGGTAAAAATTCCTTATATAACATTATCACAGCAATATTGGAACCACAGTGCACAAGGTGAAACATCAATAAATGAACACCGTTCGTAACATTACCGTTTGTAAAAGGTAACATCACTCAGGCTTGAAAGTTTTTGTTCCACCATTAATGGCCTTATCGTTGATCTATGACCTCTCTGCATTACTAATCTATATGAGCGATCTGCAGTGACCGATCAAACGTATTGATTTCGGTGATGATGGAGCTTTTTTAGTCTGCTGGCGCAACCGCTTACGTGAGTCAACATTCATAAATGCTGCAAAAAAGGTGGAAAAGTCAGCGAAATGCAAATCATGACATTTTTATCTGGATCAAAATCATAACTCTAACTGGCAAATAGTATTCACAAATATATAAATGCCAAAGCTTTTGATTAAAATCCATAATAATTTGATTTGAGCAAATGAGGGATTTTTTCACAGAGACGTCAAAAACTAGGAAAGTCAAGAGTAAAGCGGCAAGCTGTCCCACTAGTTCGAAGTTCAAGGAACTGCCTCAAACAAATTTTTGGTCCGACAAATACAGATGTGATTCTGGTTGCAAATAAAAAACGCGGAAGGATATTCCAATGAAAATTCAAAAATTAAAAAAAAAGTGCAAGTGCCAACCAGTTAGTTTTGTCTGTTTCTTAGCCATACGTCGTTCTTTGCATTTCGATGGATTTGATGTGACTGGTAGGACCGGTACTTCTGGACCTGAGTAGTCTGCTGTTACAGAAGTAGACGTAGAATCCACACTGCAGTTGTTACTTATACTACTACTGCAAGGCATACAGTTCTCAGTTTCACATGGTCGACTAGACAAATAATAGGAACTGTGATAGAATTGAGGAACCTGTAACAAACGGATAATAAAAAGTAGTAATTATAAGTACTTTATACGCCTAATATACATTGAAAGTTATTTTAACATCCTATGGTTTGTTAAATTGAATAGCACACATTTAGAAAAGATATATTTTAATGCTGAAAGTTTCGAAGATAAAAATGCATGAAGACATGACATATGCATAACTTACCGATTCCGCCGGAACAGGAGTAAATTCCCACTCCGCAGTGATTGTCGATGGGCACGGATTTTCAGAACTGAACAAGAAACCCCATCTCAGTTGCTGTTCACGCCGAATTTCATTTAACTCTTTTGTTAACCACTGATCAACATTTTGTGGATCCGGACGTCCAAATAGACAACGTCGAGCACTACGTTTCAGAACTTTCACAGGTCCCACTTTAGAAGGAATAGTAACAGCTGTAGTAGCATTCACCGGAGTCGATATAACGACTGAATCTTCCATAGAATTTACCAGATAATTCAGGATAGTGGGAAAAAGTTAGAAGACGAACGATATACCTTTTCAGCTTCAATGTTCCTGCTTTTATTCGAATTAATAAATCTGAAAATCATGCTTGATATAAATAAATTGCTTACATTAGACACAATCATCGCACGCAATAAATGTAACCAAACAGATTTTCCCATGAATTGAACCACTTTAAAGATTCTGCAAAAGGTCCGACTTGAATTTAATTCTAAAATTAAAATATATGACAATTTTATTCCATAGATTACAAAATATTCATTTTTCAATATGGGCTTTAGAACAATTCTTCATTTATTAATGATAGAGTTGCAACAAAAATCTGTAATTATCTGAAAACATGACAAATCTTCAATTTTCATGAACGGATTGTTTCATTTCTAGGGTAGGGAAAATATTTTAAAAGATTAACAGATGTATACAAACTCAAAAAACCAACTGCAATTCAAATACCATTCTTATCACCTTGATCTTTTGGAAGTTGAAAATGACCCTAATTATGGCGTGTTGTCCGAGAAAGTATGACAGATGTGAACAGCTAAGGAAAATTAACAGCAATGAGAAAGCTGCGTCAAGCAGTAAATCAAGCATGATTGAAGAAGGGATATAATACTATGGCCATATGGCCTCAAATAATCAGGACACAGAATTGGATAGGGTTTAGGACAAAGAATGACATATGACGGAGGGAAGAGAGAGAGGGAGAATTGAACTCATTTAATACTAGCAGCTTAAAAAGCATCGATTTCACAGTGACACAACTATGACTCAAGCAATAACGATATCAATACTCACAGGATTTGCAAATATAAATCATCTAATTTATATTCAGTCAGAAAAATCGGAAGATATTTAAAATTCAAAACAGTACTGTTACTACATCTTGTTCAAGAAAAAAAGTTAGAGGAGTATGAGTGTTCCAGGAAAATAATCCTTTCAACCTATAGTGAACTTTAAGTAAGAAAAGTGTTACCAAACAATTGTGATTGGTTCATTTTAAATAACAGAAAACAGAGTTCTGGTCGTTATGATGGTCAGTTGTTAAGGCAAATGACTATATTAGTATCAGTGATAAAAAATAAAGTGCAAAAAAGAGAGAGTAAAAGGGAGGGAGTCATCGTCCAGTTGTTCAACAATCTGAACATTTCAGGAAAAAAATTAATTTATAGGGTTGAGGAAGGAGAGAGGTAAAAGTTCTCCATAGGTCATATTGATGGACAACACTGTCCGATCATTGTAAAAGGGAACGAGGAATGAAGAATGGCATTCAACAAAAAAAAGACAGGGGAACATGGGTCATCTCATTTGTTAAACCCGATAAGGATTTTCTTCTTCCCTACAGTGGAGTGATAGTGAAGTATACATATAAGTACCGCCACATCATCCATATTTCATAGAAGTTTTCGATGTATGAAAGAATGTCGCGATAACCGCTAATTTAGTTATAAACTATGAAAGTAATAAATTGTAAAGTACAAGTACACCAAACGTTTACGTCTGTCATTTTCGCATATGTTAATGAAATTTTTGAAACTAGTAAAAATTCAAATTCAATATATCTTAACTGAAATAACTAACAGGAATTTCACTTGTGTTTTAAAGCTCAAAATCAAAATATTCAGTAAAATTTCAAATTTAATAACTATTTATCTGTTCGATAACTGTTCGAAAATGAATGCGCAAAATTGTGCACAGAAAATTATAAATTGATTTTAATATTCATACTTAAGGAATTAAATGATGTCAAAAAGGCAAATCAGACATTAACAATGTCACATGACAAATCAATATCGCAACTGAACAAGTGAACAAGTAAACAGTGATAATAGCTGAGGGAATGATCATTAACATATAGCTCCAAACATTAATTCTATAGAAGTTGACGACATTTGAAAGAGTTTGCGTTCACAATACACAAAATTGCGGTGGCTCAATTTAACTGATTGATTAATCAATAGTTTTAGCAGCAATGATTGTGATAATGATGGTGATAATGACAGAGGGTGGTGAATGATAGAAACCACTGGAAGTGATAGATATCGGCGACCAAACGGTCGTTAACAGTGGTAGTGGAGGTATTAGTAATAGAAGTAGCAGCAATGTATGTGTCATCATATGTGGTCATTACGCAGGTAGTGTAAGCAGAGAAGAGCAATCAGACAGAGGTCATCGGGGTCAAGTGGACAGTTGACCAACACAACCACGTACTCCCCAACCACGCCGACTGGCCGCTTTCCCGCACTCATCAATGCACTCCTTCCTATCCGATGGAACACAACCATCAACCACCCTCCGCCTCCATAGCCCCTCCTCTTCCTCTTGCTCTCATCCTCCTCTCTTACATCTCCCTCCCCATTTCTCATATTCTCTCCCCTCCATCAATGAACTGCTCATCTCCATTCAAATGCTCTCTCATCCTCTCTTTGTCTCCTCCTCTCATGACGCCTATTATTTTCAACATTATTTATAGAATTTAATCGTCTACACCCTTCTCATTTCCACCCTATTTTCATTGCACATTAAAAGGGGAGAAATTGGCACATAACCAAAGCAAGGTGAAGCACACATGTGCAACCTGCCACCCTTATTAGCAACGTGCAAATTACGCACGATCACTTATAGCTCGCAGATTGCTGTCAGCAATAGCGACTGGCAAACATTCCTCTTCATTAGGGTCAGGAGTATATCTAAAATTCGCGAAGAAAACGGTAATGATGAGGGAAGATCAGTCAGTTAGTGATATGCATGATAACAAGAAATTTATCAACATCTTGTTAATAACACAATTTATCATTGTTACTCTTAACCGCTCGTATATAATGGCTGCTTTCCAGAATTTTCAAATTAACTGTGCGTGATGCATGCAGCAGGTTCTATCCTTTGCTACGTGTGAATGAAAGTTTTCGGTTGATGAAGAGGATTTCTGAGCACTATGATTTGTGTAGCTCATCAGTTGAATGTATCAGATTGTGACAGTATGACCTCTCTCTTCTCGGGACAGAATTTTATTTTGCGGGAATAGAAATGAATTGTTGCCAAAAGAGTGCAAAAGAGTGATATGAAGCTGCCAAAAGATATGGAAGGAGGAGTGGCGTAGCACGTAGCATTTGGAGAAGCATGATAATATGATATGATAGAAAGCTATCGCGGGAGAGGAGGGTATTAGAGAAAGCTGGACGAGAAAAAAAGAGGAAAGAGTGAACGATCTATCTGTATAAGCTGTTACGGTCGTCTCCCGAGTTATCGCGAATTGGCAGGATGATAGAAGAGATAAGACTGCACAGGGTTGGATTATTTGTCATTAAAGAACTTGTCATTCACCCGCAATGCTCGTTTCTTTTCTCTCTTGTCCTCTTACTGTTCCTCTCTTCAACGAGTGCGTACTTCTGAACTGATTTGCAAACAATAACAATGTAACTGTTGTCAACTCTTCAAAAAATACACAATTCTTTTTTTCTTCTGAAGGAACGGAAAAAAGGAATTTTTTTTTCCTTCAATATAGGCAGAAAGCGCGCGCGCAAAAAGTACAGTTGTTGAGGACAGTGGAATATATAAACAGACAGACAGACAGAGAGACGGACGGACGGGCGGACGGACGGACGGGTGGACGGAGGGACGGACGGACGGGTTGGTGGATGGATGGATGGATGGATGGATGGATGGATGGATGGAGTTGTTTGCTGTGTGAGAAGAAGGAATGGATTGGAAGAGTGTATTGGATGGTGGCAGCTTTTGCGCTCCTTTTTTTTCCTCCTCTCACATTTACTTTGTTTGGGTAAAAGTTACTGTTCACCGAGGTTGTTTATAAAAAGAAGAGAAGCATTATTTGCATGCATAAAAAGGGATCGGTTGTTTAGGGTATATGGGAGTATAGGTATAGGTATAGGTAAGGGTAACGGTATGGGTAAGTGTAAGAGTACGGGTTAGGAAAGATGGGTGGGTGAATAAAGAGTGGAGGGGTTAGTTGTTTACAGCTATTCGGTGATCTATCCGTCTATCCATGTGGGCTCGCTCCATCAAGGAACTTGTTCCCTCAGTTTTTGGCGCCACATCAGTCTGTTGAATATTTCAAAGGAAAAGAAATTCATTGTTCGATTATAGGCATATGCATAAAAGTTCGAGGGAGTGATGCTAAATAGTGCAGAATTGAAAGAAATATCATTCCGGAATTGGGAAAGCGGAATATTCCGGTAATTCCCGGAAGAGTTGTTCAGAGTTGTCGAATACCGAAAGGAATTATCGATAATATTATCATCAAATGTTAAAGTGTTAATTTCATTACTGGACACTATAAGATTAGCCTTCAAATGTAACAAGCACGAAGCACACTTTGTTATGTTTCAATTTTCTTGAAATCTCTTGTCACTTATAAATATGGCGGTTTTTTTATTTACCTAAAAATATGCATAAAATTAAAGGAATGAAATGGAAGTGAAGTAGTTAGGATGAAGATCAAGGCAAGAGTCATCCAAAGAATGAAAGAAGATTTCATGAATATTTCAAATTTGCTATAGCACTGAAAACTATTACAATAAGCAAGACTCAAGTAGAATACATGCACCGCGCAAATGTCGCTCAACTACGAGAGATGCTACGAACAGTCAATCCTGCCGATCTTTTTGCTCCATTTATTTTCCTTCTTTTCTGTGATTAATTTGATTTAACACAATTGATATGTATTGTTTTTGTTTGTACATGTGTATGTGTGTGTGTGTGTGTGTGTGTGTGTGTGTGTGTGTGTGTGTGTGACACAAATATAGTGTTATGTGTATAAAATTCACCCAGTCACCTCTTCTCTTATCTAATCAATTCACTATTTCCATGGCA